TATATTTTGGTTGCAGCCGTCATTGTTGTTTGGCGGGTCTGGGCTGGGGATTCGAACCCGCCACCTTAGGTGTACATGGCTGGCGCCTTAGCCAGTTGAGCCACAGGCACCGAGCCTATTTATTTTCTTTATTAAGGTTTCACTGATTGCATTTGTTAGGTAAAGTCCCTCTTACAATTGTGTCTTGCCCCCAAAAAGAGTGGCACACACCAAGACACCCCCCTCTCCTTCCCTCTCTCTGCTATTCCCTTCCCCACTCCTCCCTCCTTCTTCCTCTCTCTGTTGTCCCTTTTCCCTACCCTCACCGTGTCATTAATTGTCCTCATATCAGCCTTTTTTCTTTCTTTCTTTCTTTCTTTCTTTTTTTTTTTTTTTTGTGTGTGTGTGTGTGAGATAGAGTCTTACTTTGTCACCCTTGGTAGAGTGCTGTGGTATCACAGCTCACAGCAACCTGAAACTCTTGGGCTCAAGTGATCCTTTTGCCTCAGCCTCCCAAGTAGCTGAGACTACAGGTGCCTGCCACAACTGCCCAACTATTTTTTGGTTGTAGTTGTCATTATCTTTTGGCAGGCCCAGGCTGGATTTGAACCTGCCACCTCCAGTGTATGGCTGGCACCCTAGCTGCTGAGCTATAGGTGCTGAGCTAGAATTGTCATTTTTTTAAAGTTATTTTAGCCTTTTTTCCTTTTTTTGTGAGATAGAGTCTTTCTTACTTTGTCACCCTTGGTAGAGTGCAGTGGTATCACAGCTCACAGCAACCTGAAACTCTTGGGCTCAAGTGATCCTTTTGACTCAGCCTCCTAAGTAGTTGGGACATACAGGCTCCTGCCACAGCACCAGCTATTTTTAGAAGGGGGAGGGTCTCGCTCTTGCGTAGGCTGATTTCAAACTCCTGAGCTCAAGCAATCTACCCACCTTAATCTCCCAGAGTGCTAGGATTACCGGTGTGAGCCACATCATCCAGCCTTATTTTAGCCATTTTAAAAGGCATGCAGTGATGCCTTATTGTAACTCTAATTTGTATTCCCAAGCTGACTAATGGTGTTATCTTTCCACATATTTTTTAATTATAGAATTTTGAGAGTTTTTAATATATTTTGGATACAGTTCCTTTATTAGACATGTAATTTGCAAATATTTTCTCCTAGTCTGTGGCTTATCTTTTTCTTTTCATAGCAGTGTCTTTTGAAGAGAAGTTTTTGTTTTGTTTTGTTTTGCTTTGCTTTGCTTTTAGATAGAGGAGCAGAAGTTTTTAATTTTGATAGATTCTCATTTTTTCATATTTTCTCCCGTGAGCTGTACTTTTGTTGTGATATCTAAGATCCCTTCACTTAATATAGTGGATTACTTTCTCTCCCCTAATATTAGCTTGTTAGCTCCTGCCCAGGTGAGATATGTGAGATGTAGTATGTTCTTAAAGTGTATTTATAGCTTATGAATTTCAGTCTGATTGTGTGGAGGTGGGATGCCTCCTGTTCTTGGTTCTTACCGCTTCCCGTTTCTGGGGTCGGAGAAGGAGAGGGTGCTGCTAGAGTTGAGTCTCAGGACTAAGTATTTGGCGATCTTTGTGTGTTTTGGAAATTTTCTTCTGTTTTTTGTACCATAGTTGATGAATCTGTGAGGCTGGTATTTACTGTTAGATTATAGGGAAAAACTTGGACATCAAATATTAGAATCTTTGTCAATTTGCTTAATGTTTTATAGATGCTTCATATTTTGATCAGAATTAATTTATCAACAGTTTTTGTTGACTTTTGTACTTTTCCTGTTCTGTTAGAATTGTTACAAGATGTCATTTTTGTTTTCTAAAATTTAAAGAAATACTGGGAGGTTTTGTTTTGTTTTTCTTTGCCAGATAGTAAAGATTTGTGGGAATAAACAGAGACTTTGGTGTTTGAATCCAGATGAACATGTTGAACATGCTGTTTTATTTACTAGAATAACCATCACCGTATGGACCGTGTTCTGTTTGGTTTTTTGCCACCAAGTTATACCTTCTGGGTTTGCCTCATGAAACAAATTTTGAGGTCTAAAATATCCTGTGTTCTCAGCCAAAGACTTGCACCCAAATGTTCTTTAAACATGAATTGCTGTCTTGTATAGTATTTTGTCCTTGTTGATACTATTTTCCAAGGATGGCAGCTACTGGGGAGACTAAGGCAAGAGAATTGCTTGAGCCCAATCACTTGAGCTGTGGCACCACGGCATTCTGTCTAGCGAGGGTGACAAAGTGAGACAGTCTCAAAAAAAATAAATAAATAAAACTTCCAACTGGTTCTGTGCCTGTCAGTAGGCTCTTAATAAATCTACTCATATTTTGGGGGTAAATATACCATAGGTTTTAATAAAATGCATTTTATATGTTTTATTTACAGAGTAGAGAAGGGAATCTTACAGGAGTCATTTAATAAACATAAAAATCTTCAAGGTTTTCCCCCCTTCCTTGAAATGAGTTTGCAAAGACCAAGTATTGATTTCTTGCGTCACCCGCCTCTTTCTTGCTGTTAGAATGCAATAGGACATGCATTTATTAATGAGATACTGGGCCACTGTGTGCATAGCCCTCTCTCCAAGGCACTGTCTGGTATGCTGACCGCTGGCCTGGGAGAAAGACCGTCAGTGCGCTAGAAGGAAAAGAATCACAGAGGGCATGGGGGCACTTTCTCCTGTTAAGACTTGGGCCTCACCAGCTGTGCCAGCTGTGAACTTGGGGTTTGCTAGGCCTCTGGAGAGGTAACTTGGTACTGGATTAGGAAATCTTTGCTACCGGATCAAGAAATGTATTAGGGCAGCCACTGGGAACTTCTTTCCCGATCCTGGGCTGTGCTGGTACCGATCGTGTGGTTGAAAAGTTTTCTGTTGGGTTGAAGAGGGTATGTTAATGGAATTGGAAGTTGATAGGTGAGTTGATAACGTTATTTTAGTAGTCTTAAGAATGATTTTGTAAGTGTTGACCGTAATGACTGGCAGTGGAATGGAAAGTACAAATGAACTAATTAAGTTTTTTGAATGTATTGCAGTGGGTTTGGAGTCCCCACCACTGTCGGTATCTGAAGAAAGACAACTCGCCATCCTAACAGAGCTGCCTTTTGTGGTTCCCTTTGAGGAGCGAGTAAAGGTTTGCAGTTACCACTTTAAGGTTATTTATTGTATTAGTGTTAAAAAATGAACACATCAACCAAAAAATAGCACTGGAGATGCTTGGTGCTTTGCTGGTTATATCATTTATATTTTTCTCATTCTTTTTTTTTTTTTTGAGACAGAGCCTCAAGCTATCACCCTGGGTAAAGTGCTGTGGCATCACAGCTCACAGCAACCTCCAACTCCTGGGCTTAAGAGATTCTCTTGCCTCAGCCTCCCAAGTAGCTGGGACTACAGGCGCCTACTACAACGCCTGGCTATTTTTTGGTTGTAGCCGTCGTTGTTTGGAGGGCCTGGGCTGGATTCAAACCCACCAGCTCAGGTGTACGTGGGTGGCGCCTTAGCTGCTTGAGCCACAGGGGCCAAGCCTCTCATTCCATTTTAATAGCTAACAGTGATTTGTAAAACCTAAGCAGATAGTTCTTTGTACAACTGAAAATATTTCCTTAATTATAACTGGGTTGAAAGTTTTTATTTTGTTTTTGCTGAGACAAAACCTCACTCTCTTGCCCAGGCTAGGGTGTTGTGGTCTCACTGTGGCTCACAGCAACCTCAAACCTCTGGGTTCAAGCAATTCTCCTGCCTCAGCCTCCTGAGTGGCTGGGGCTACAGGCCAGTACTGGGCTAATTCTTTTCTCTTGGCTCCTGAGCTCAAGCAGTCCTCCCACCTCAGCCTCCCACAGTTGCTAGGATTATAGGAATGAGCTACCGCACTGCATTCATGTTTTTACTGTGCTGCATTCATGTTAAAGTTATTTATCACACACACTACTTTTAAAGAAAATGGACCGGCCCGGCACCTATAGCTCAGTGATTAGGGTGCTAGCCACATACACCAGAGCTGGCAGGTTCAAACCCAGGCCAGGCCTGCCAGACAACAACAGGTAGAACCAAAAAATAGCCGGCATTGGGATGGGCACCTGTAGTCCCATCTACTTGGGAGGCTGAGGCAACAAAATCACTTAAGCCCAAGAGTTTTAGGTCTCTCAGTCTCTTTACAGGGTGAGCAAAAGAAAAAGTTTCTTTAGAAAACTTTGTGTTTCTCATTAACAACCACATGTGGTGTCGCATAATCCCTGGGCTCCCTCTACTGGATTTTTAACATCAGATGTTCAGGAACATGGTCCATTTCTGGATGAATTAATGTAATTTTGTCATGGAGATGTGACTTGTGTACAGCTTTACACAGCTTTTCTTCTGTCTTCCCTCAGCTACCTGTTTTTATAAAGGACTTGTAAATATACTGTAGGATGGGATTTTGAAATTTATTGTAAAATGGGAGAAATACTTAATGGCTCAGCGCCCATAGCACAGGGGTTACAGCCCCAGCCACATGCACCAAAGCTGGCGGGTTCGAGCCCAGCCCAGGTCAGCTAAGCAACAATGACAACTACAACAACAAAAAAATAGCCAGGCGTTGTGGCGGGCACCTGTAGTCCCAGCTACTTGGGAGGCTGAGGCAAGAGAATCGCTTAAGCCCAAGAATTAAGAGGTTGCTATGAGCTGTGATGCCACAGCACTCTACTGAGAGCAACATAGTGAGACTCTGTCTCAAAAAAAAAAAAGAAAAAGAAAAGTTATACTTAAATATGATACAAATTACATATCCATACATTTATTGATAAATTGAGATTTAATACTTTGACTATTAAAATTTCAGGGATTGTAGACATACTAAAGTTAAGATTTATTTGCTAGTTTTTCATTTTGGTTGCTTATAACATGAGTCTAGTTTTTTCTTTTTGAGACAGAGTCTTACGCTATCACCCTGGCTAGAGGGCCTTGACATCCTAGTTCACAGCAACCTCAAATTCGTAGGCCCAAGTGATACCCTTGCCTTAGCCTCCCGAGTAACTGGGACTACAGGCACCTGCCAGAATACCTGGCTGATAAAGTCTATTTTTTCTAATAACTTTACAACTTTCCCTATTTTGTTAGATTTTTCAGAAGTTGATTTATGCAGATAAGCAAGAAGTTCAAGGAGATGGTCCATTTCTGGATGGAATTAATGTCACAATAAGAAGAAATTATATTTATGAAGATGCTTATGACAAGCTTTCTCCAGAAAATGGTATATATAATTTTCTGCATGTTTATATTTGGCAGGAGTGGGCTAGGGATTGTTTTAGAAAGTGATGATCATTAAAAAATTAGTGTCCGATATCTTGTTCTGTAATGGTTTTTTAACACTGAAATGTAGCAAGTCAAACTTGCAAAATGTATATTATCAGATAATATTCATAAAATTGACAGCTATTGCAACAGAAGACTTTAAATATTGATTTTCTTTTAAAGACAAGAAACTAATTCCCCCCTACAGTTGTGTGTTCTTAACATTTAGTTTATAACCTATAATTCTAAAACTGTTGATGGTAGCCATTTATATCCTACATCTTTCTGTTGTTTTTTTGGTTGTTGTTGAGACAGGGTCTCAAGCTGTCACCCTTAGCAGAGTGCTGTCCTCTTGTCTCAATTTTTCATTCTTTTCTCTCTCTTTTTTTTTTTTTTTTTTTTTTTTTGCAGTTGTTGGCTGGGGCTGGGTTTGAACCTGCCACCTCCAGTATATGGGGCTGGCACCCTACTCCTTTGAGCCACAGGCACTGCCCCTCAATTTTTCTATTTTTAGTAGAGATGGATCTCACTTTTGCTCAGGCTGGTCTGGAACTCATAAGCTCAAGCTATCCACCCACCTCGGCCTCTCAGAGTGCTAAGATTATAGGTGTGAGCCACTATACCTGACCCTCTACCTTTTATATAAATACATATTTATGTAAATATCATAAATTGTGAGCCAAATTGAATATACTAAAATAAATGCTATTACAATCCAAATTTCTTTTTTATTTTTTGAGACACAGTCTCAAGCTGTCATCCTCAGTAGAGTGCTGTGGCATCACAGCTCACAGCAACCTCAAACTCTTGAGCTTAAGCAATTCTTTTGCCTCAGCCTCCCGAGTAGCTGGGACTACAGGTACCCGGCCATTTTTTGCTTGTAATTCTCATTGTTGTTTGGTGGGCCCGGGCTGGACTCAAACCTGCCAGGTCCTGTGTACATGGCTGGCGCTGCTTGAGCTATAGGTGCCCAGTCTATGATCCAAAATTTTTTTTTTTTAATATGGAACGCTTCACAAATTTGCATGTCATCCTTGCACAGGGGCCATGCTAATCTTCTCTGTATCATTCCAATTTTATAAGAAGATCGGTGTGCTTCAATGGCAATGCTGTTAGTAAAGGAGAATTACATTGTAACAGTGATTTGGGTACAGCTGGGGGCCGACCACACATTTTATCTTTCATGTTTGATGCTCAGTGTTTACAGTTTTTGTATTATTATCTTACATACATATTAACTGTTTTAACTTCAGAGTTTATGATACTATGTTGAATCACTGCCAGTCAGGTCAGTGAGAAGTTGAACACAATATAAAAATCAATGTTGAATCAGTGCAGAGGAGATTAAAAATGAGACTTATACAAATCTTTGGGAGATGGGAGGTTGTCAGACCTGAGATAAAAATTGCCTTTTCCGGGTGGCGCCTGTGGCTCAGTAAGTAGGACGCCAGCCCCATATACTGAGGGTGATGGGTTCAAACCCAGCCCTGACCAAAGTACAAAAAAAAAATAGCCGGATGTTGTGGCCGGCTGCTCGGGAGGCTGAGGCAAGAGAATCACCTAAGCCCAAGAGCTGGAGGTTGCTGTGAGCTGTGACACCACAGCACTCTACTGAGGGTGACATAATGAGACTGTCTCTAAAAAATAATAATAAAAAAATTTTTTTTAAAAATTGCCTTTTCCTTAAGGGGAGCAATTTAATTTTCTTTTAGAAAAATAAAACCTCTAGGATTTAATAAATTTTATTGCTGAGATAAAGAGGTAATCCTGTCATTACTGACAGATCAGTGGAGGGAGCAGCTTCAGTCATCCCCTGCTCTGTTCCAGGTCTCTGTCTACACCATTCACTCCTGTCGTGGAGTCCATGCCGCGGCCCTCTGACACCTGATGTCATGAACTGAGACTGAGTTTTAGCTCAGGTCTGAGTGCAGGCTGTGACCTCTCTACCTTGCCATGTTTCTCTTGCCTAGTATGTTTTCAGACATTACCTGTGAATGAGTCGAAATAAGGTAGTTTGGCTCCTGGTCTGATCATTGAATTGGGAACTACAGGTGGACATCCTTCTGAAGACATAGTCCCCTTTCTTTGGGTCACACAGTTCTTCATAAATCCGTTCTGGCAGTTCTTATGTTGGATATCCTATTTGCAGATTTTGTATTTGTATCTCCCACTTGACCATGAGGTCTTTATAGCCTGGGATGGAATCATTTAGCTTTTGTTCAGTGTACACAGCTTGTATTCAATAAATATTTGTTGAATTTGTGATTGAACACTGGTGGAAAAAGCAGATATAATAAAATCCAAAATAGATATGCAAATGATGGCATAGTCTTCAGAAAAGAGTAAGATGCTTAGTATTGGAGGGGTGGTCCCTGTGTCTGTGCGTGAGGGGACAGCAGCAACCTGGGCTGGGGCTCAGCTCCACCTGTGCAAGGGTGGCTCAGGCGGGATCCTGGGGGGTGTAGGTGAGAGGGAGAGTGCTTCAGCTGGAGTAGAATGTGCTTGTTTAACAGTAATTTTAAGTTAAATTATTTCATGTAGATGGTTTTTAGGATATTATTGCCCAATTATAGCAAACCCCAAATTTCCTAATGAATCCTTAGGCTTTAAAAATTATTCAGGTGGTGCCTGTGGCTCACTGAGTAGGGTGCTGGCCCCGTATACCGAAGGTGGCAGGTTTGAACCCTGCCCCAGCCGAACTGCAACAACAACAACAAAAAAATTGCCGGGTGTTGTGGCAGGCACCTGTAGTCCCAGCTACTCGGGAGGCTGAGGCAAGAGAATCACCTAAGCCCAGGAGCTGGAGGTTGCTGTGAGCTGTGATGCCACAGCACACTACCGAGGCCAAAAAAGTAAAACTCTTATCTCTAAAAAATAAATAATCAATAAAATAAAAATTATTCAACTGCCGGCTGGGCATTGTGGCAGGTGCCTGTAGTCCCAGCTACTTGGGAGGCTGAGGCAAGAGAATCCCTTAAGCCCAAGAGTTTGAAGTTGCTGTGAGCGATGACATCACAGCACTGTATCGAGCACTCTGTCTCAAAAAAAATAAATTCAAATGCTGACCATACCTAGCGCCCTAAGTGCATGCCAGCAATCACATTAAGGTTAAAGGATTTGGAAAAAATCTTCCGATAATATTTGTATTTATAATGCTTAAAATCTTTATTTTTAATCTGCATACTCTGATTTCTCTTTAGATTGTATAAATATTTCCCCTTTCACTAAAATTTTTAATCCGTTTTGTTAGACAAATTAGTAGAATTAAACATCATCTCTGAACATTTAATTTACTTATGAGAAAGGCATTTGAAGTGCTTTGTTGGCTGATCATTTACATACAATCAGTTAATGTGGTTATTTCATATATCATCCAGTCATTAAGGTAACTCCCTCCTTGTGGGTACTCATTATCGAATTTCATCTCAGAAGGATTCTCTGAAGTCTGGGTGTTAGCCCCATTTTACAAATGAATTGGCTGAGTGGCACTCAGGATGGTTGATGCCCTGCCTCCTGCACTCAGTGCTCAAAGAGCAAAGACCTCGCTCCAAGGCCTCACACGTGGACACCCACAAGCTCCACCCCACACCCTGCCCACACCAACCTGGTTGCAGCATCTTCCCTTGTCCACGTGGAGAAGTGGTGGTGTTTACTCAAGGGGTTGCCCTGCTGCAGGGTCTGACTCCCTCCCAGTTCCTTGTGTCTTTCACCATCTAGTGGGAAGAGGTGGCAGAGCTGGCCCTGAGCTGTCTGTGGTCAGTTCTAGAGAGTCTTGCTTCTGTGTGCTTTTGTTGGTTAGCTGGTTTTATATTGTTACATTTAATGGGCAGATTTAGCTACATTGTTTTCCCAAAGAAATGGCAATAAGTTGAAATCAAATTAATGTTCTACATGAGTTTTTTTTTTTTTTTTTTT